TTTGGTGGGAGTAAGAATGTGAGTAGAACCTGTGAGAGAACAGAGGTGGGCTGACTTCTTAAACAGAAATAAATTAAAGGAGCATGCCAACTTAGGCCTAATAGTCATAATACACAGCAGGTGAGGATGTGTGAGAAAGCCACTGAGAGAGACAGAGAGAGATGAGGATGAACGAATGACCGGGTGAGCAGTGCTGCGTGCAGAAACACATAAGATCAGAAGCTGGGCTTATTCAGTCACCACTGGGCCTCCACGGTGTTTCTGTGAACAGCCTATCATTGTCCTCCTCCCACACACTTTGCATCAGATTCCTACATGATTCCTACACCTAAAAACCAGACTAGGCCTCAAGCCTGTACTGCAGACCCAACGCAATGCCCACTGAAGTCAATGGGAGTTATCCCATCGTTTCTAATGGACACTGTATCAGGTCATGAGAGAGGTCCAGTCCACCTGCTGTCCTTCAGTCGTAACCCTTCTTAGCCAGGAGGCCCTGAGGTAGACTGCTGCCACCCAGAAAGTGTCTGAGATGCTCATCATCCATAATGAACATTAAACATACATGCAACAATTATTGAGTCATAGACCAGAGTGCACATTAACATTAGATATTAAAATATGGTGAGAACATTTACGTTATCCAGCACACAAAACAGCACTGAGAAATGGTTGACAAGATGAACAGGATGGGGGGGAAGAGAGGGTTAGAGTTAAGAGGCAAGGGTGGGTGGAGGGAGGGGGGTTGGGAGGGAAGGAATTGTGTGTTCCAGTGGAAAAAAATCCAGTGAGCAGATGAGGTACCAGTTAGAGAGGATCCACTGGGATGGTGGCACTGGCCTAAGTGTTGCCCTTGTCAAGCTGAGCAGTAGTGTATTAATGATGTAATCACAAGTAGATTCAGCAGAGCTCACAGCACTAGCCCAGCAAGTGAAGTCAGCATGAACAACTTTAGGATTCAGGAACATGAGCATCTAGAAGCACTCTCCAGAACCAGCTGTAGTTCCTACCGTACTGCTCTGCCAACATCCCTCCCTTAACCCATAGCTCTTCCCACGCCATACTGATAGATACAGAGCACCCATAAAGCACTTCCATCTTGACCAGTAGCAAGGAAAAGGCCAGGTCCCTCTATGTCAGAATCATGCAGTAGCCAGTTGTGTCCCCATTGTGTGTGTCTGGCTCATCATTCTTTGATGACCAGCAGGATATCAGTTCTGCCTCTGCCACATCAACACATTCTGCACCTCCCATATCACAGCACCACCAAAAATTTGCCCTTGGGAGGGAGAAAAATATGTGGAGAGTCATGTATTTTCTGATTATCCAGGTGTTATGGAACCAAACTGATCACTTCAGGAGTCAAGAAAAAAACTTCTCTTTTCATCCTATACCATCAACTCCACTTTCCCTACATGATGGATTGCAATATTAGTGGGGAAACAAGGATTTCCTGCCTCTGATGCATCATATGTTGGCCACTCCCAGAGGCAAGACAGAAGACTTGATGGGCTGATCTGTAGGAGGCAAATCCTATGTTCTTATATAGGGTTGAGGACGTAGGAAAAAATGAGTTTTCCTTATAAGTTCTTCCCATGCAGTCATCTGGAGACTGGATTTTGTTTGCTTGCCTTTAGCATGGAGAGAGAAGCAGCATTCAGAGCCAGGTGAGTAAAAGAGAAGCATGGGATGGAGCCAGAGAGTGCAATGGAGCTGTGCATGGCTCTGCTTCGAACACCCGTGGTACTCACCTATTAGCACTTCCCACTTTCCGCTGGCTTGCGTCACCTCATAGGCGCAGCGCATCTCATTCAGGCTCGTGCCCCCAAGGATGAAGATGATGAGGCGGGGACCACTTCTGTACTCACCAGGGGCCTTGTTTTTGTGCCAGTGTCCATAGCGGGCGCTAAATAGGGAAAAGAAGATACAGTGAGGGGTAACAGAGCCTACAGTATCCACACGCAGATTGCCTTGCAATCACTACATGCAGAGACAATCAACTCCTGGAGCTGCTATTTGCTAAGAGGGAAGATATCTGATAAATTCTTCTGGATGGTCCTGGGTACAAGAATGCCTGAGCAATGGCCAGGGATTCAGGACTCTTGGGTTCCTTCTACAGTTTTGGGTAAGTCAGTGTGTAGATAAGGAATCTGTAGCACAGAGCTTAATACTGAAGTGGAAAAGTAGTCCTACCTCCTGGCCTATAGGGCTATGGGGAGGATTAGTTAAAATGTTTATAGTTTATTATTATTATTATTATTGTCCATTCACCTCAGGCAGCAGTCATAATCCACATTCTGCATGCAGAGGTCTTCGTTGGTTTTCAGTGATAAATATTGTCCATCTTTAATAGATGGGGGAACTGAGACGCAAGGTAGTGTAGTGACCCAAGGTTGACATCAGACTGGGTCACAAACCTGATGAACAGCCTGACACTGTTTTCCATTATTATGAAGGTCTGTTTAGGAAGAAATTAGGACACAAATTCCAAGTGTTGAAGCAGAACAGGAGTGAGATACAAAAACAGAGTGAGGGGATGGCTGGTGGTTCAGGATTGGAATAAGGGGCGCTGCTGTAGGATAGAAGTGAGATACGCCTACCCTAGGCCTTGCTCTAGTCATCCTGACTAACCTTTCACTTCCATGGAGTATCAGCATATCAAAAAAAGAAACAATGAAGAAATGAAAAGAGAGTTACTGAGGGTTAGTACTTGGTCCTGGGGAATTAAGTGTTTATCCGTCTGCATAATGCTGATGTAACTAGTCTCAGACTCTCCTTTGGGAAAGGTCTCATCTTTCCCAAAGGAGGTGTGCATATGGGGTGCATATCTTTCTACCTCACAGGCATGCTGTGAAGACAAAACCCAGGAATATTTGTAAGGCACAGACCCTGGGTAGAAGTCATGTTTATAGCAGTGCAACCATCAGTACACACAGGTATAAAAAAGCAATAGAGCAATGATATAAACCTCTAAACCAGGTAACTTTTCCCAGTCCGGCAGAGCAGTGGGGGCCAAGCTTTTTGGTAGATGTGTCACAAATTAGCTCTGCACTCTCTCTGAGTGCCACTCCACTCTTCTTTCCCTGTCTGGTCTGCTGCTCTGATATCTGCTCCCTGCTCAATCTGCTGCTGTGCTGCCTGTCCCCTCCCTAATCTGCCATGTGCCACACATAGAGCTTGCCTGTGCCACTTGTGGTACACGTGCCAAAGGGTGGCCCCCCTTATGGTAGAGAATTTGCTCTGAAAGACTCAGAGGTACAATTCTCCTGGTATAAGTGACATCAGTTTAGATTTACTCTGTCTACATTCATCCCAGGCTAGCTGCTGGCTGAAGGGAAACAGGCTGTCACCTGGTTCCCCCATTGTCCCAGTGACCGTGACCTACTGAGTGAGCTACCCCAGAGGAGCTGCATATCTGTCTGTTCCAGAGGCTGGTGTCACTTCCATTAATATTCATAAACAATGTAAATTATAAAGTATATACATGTCTGTTCAGGATTTCAGATACTGCAGTGATGTGAGTCACATCAACAGCTGACCTAGTCAAGGCCTCACTGAATCCTATGTGACCTATAACGTCCTGAAACAGGAAGAAGCTGGATTGTGAATCTGCGTATCGTGGCATGAGATTTGAAGCTACATGATGATAAGGGAAAAGCACTGGCACCTCTTCCCAGGACTGAACCTACCTGACAGCAGTGGTACTGAAAGAGGCTGAGGAGCGGGTAGAGATATAGGGATAGTGCTTTGTGTCCAGTTTGTCCTCAATAGCATCCTGGAAAGAGAAGAACCTGATGTCAGTATTTAGGGAAGCCAAAGTTACCATTGTTTGGACCAGACCTGTGGTTTACCTCCTCAGGCACCTTTTTGGACCCAGTTGGGGAGATACTCTGAGAAAAAGTTCTCCTGAAGTCTCAGAAGTATCCCTCACGCAAAAGAGCCCTGATACCCCCAAGCCAGGGCAGACCCTTCCTGCTCCTTCCTGGATTTATTAGCTAGCCCAGTGAGCAATAGTCACTCCATGCCACAGCCAATATGCAGGAGCAGCTACTGACCTGCAAGCCTCTGACCTATATTAAATGTCAAGCCCTGAGTCAGGCTGGGCTTCAGAGGGGCTCAAGAGGAGGTCTCAATGGGAGCACGTCTGCTCTGTTTGAGCAATGACCATCTCCTGAGCACATGGCCTATACTTTTCTTTATAGCAGTTGCTGTTCTCCAGATTCCTCATCCTGACTTTCTCTGGTCTGAACCAGGAGCTGCTTCATTCTTCACCTGATTACTATCAACAGGATCCCTGGTATCAGCATTGACTTTTGAGGGCAATGCAGTGTTGGGGAAAGAATAAAACTGGAGAATCATCTGTAAAGCTTAGTATTCATTTTTGTTTCACCTTCTTTGTAATAAGAACAGCTGCACTTTGAGGGCCAGCATCGGGTGCTGGCAGTATGATTCACTTGGAATGAATATAAAATAAAAGGGGGCTCCTGACAGCAGCTGCAGAACTCAGGAAGAACCTGAGTTAAATTAAGCCAGGCTCTGGTGACTACTGTCACCACACATCCTACATTAGATTCAACAGTCATGGAAGGAGACTCATAGCTGGTTAATTTTACTGTCAAGCCTATGATTGCAGGGTTGGCTGTGTACTTTGGGGCTGGGATTTTTAAAGGGTACTATGGCAGCTGTATGTACAACTGTGTACAGCTTCGTGAGAATCCCACTTTAGGTTCAAAGCTAACCCTAGTCCTCAAGCCATCACAGGATGGGAAGGTAGGGATTTCCTGGCAAGTCATCCCCCTGTCCAATCGCACCAGGAAAGAACAAATGACTTGTTTTTGTGCTTCAGTGCTCCCCTAAATTACTTGTGCCTACAATCATCTTAGTGCCTGCCTGCTGTCCTTAGTCACATTGCTCCATTACTGATAGCAAAGCACCCTGATAAAACTGTCTCCCACTCAGAAGTGGCATTAGTTTAAATGACACCTTCACTTAAAGTGTTTTAGTTAAATCAGCACAAACCACACTGCTTGCTCCACTACCTTTGCTTTAGCTTAAACTTGTTCTCAAATGAGTTATATTAAATCAGAATAAAAGTGTCAACAGAGGGGCTTGTACCAGTTAAACTACACTAATTCAATCTGTGCTGCTTCTTCCTCATGCAGATAGGGATGGGGTCACCTCTAGGTTACTTTCCTCCAGTGCTGTGCAAACTGCAGGTCATAGGCTGATCTTGGCTATTCCTGTGCACTGACTTCAGTAGATTGTTCTGGATTTACATCCATGTAAGTGAGATGAGAATTTGGTCCTGCCTTCCACTCCCTACAATCAAATCACTAGAACCCACACTCAGACTGCAGGCCAAAAAAAAAATGAACCCACCAAGTTCTTTGTTATGCTAATGCTCAACACCAAGGGGTGAGAAGAGGGAAAGTCAGACACTTCTGAGAAAGATAAGTGAGTCAGGTGTTCAGCTGACATCCTTCTTAAATAGGGAGCTTTTTGCTTCTAGCCTTTTACAACCACCTCCTGCCACCCACCAGCTCTTTAAGCCTGACAAAGTGATTATTACCAGGAGCTTTCCAGTTAGACCTACTAAGAACCCTGCTGTGCTGCACATCCCTAATGAATCACTATCAGCTGCTCTAGTGAGTCATCTTACACCACCCTAATGCGGGTCCCAGCTGAGACCACTGAGCTTGGATCAGCTCCTCCTCATTGTCTTCTTCAAGGTCCACTGATTGGAGAAATGTTTATGAAACCACAGAAGGGAACAGCTGTCTCTGGGGATGTGAGGAAGAAGGTAACTGGTTTGTCCTGGAATGAGAAAAGCTAGGATCTCTGCAAAGAAGTAATCTCAGGGGTAGAGCCAGCATTGGAGCTGTGGGTCTCTGCTCTGCTTTCTTTTGCCTAGGGTTGAAAGCATTTGGGGCATTAGCCAAAGTCTTGTTAGATCACTTCCTTGACATTCAGGAAAGATAATGGTGGGTTAATTTTGGATCCCTGTAGCCCTGTGTAGTTGCCTCCTCTGCCCCTTCTGTTCCCTATCATATGCTGTCAGCTTCCCTTCCCAGCCTTGTAATATAGGAATTTAAAACAACCCTATGGGTGCCTTTAAAGCAAGATTCCTCCAGTAAAGCATCAATAATAAGGGACAACAGGAACAGCTCTGCCTCATACTAGTGGCATGTCTAGTGTGCTTTTAGACTGCAAGCTCCTTAGAACAGAAAAACATTTAATTCTGTGTTAGGGCAGAAGGTCCTGCTCTGTGACAGGGCTTTCCATGTGTCACCCCAGCATAAGTAACAGCAAAGTCCTATCTCCAATAGGAACTAGCATCAGAGGAAAACCCTGGAATAATTGGAGGTTATGGAAAAGCCTGTTTGTAGTGTGGGAAAGGTTTCTTCATAACCCTAAAGGCCTAATGAGCAGGGCACTTACTGCTGAGACCTGTGTGAGGGCAGAAAAGAGAACAGTGTGGCCCCTTAAGGCATTTAAACACATACTTTTTCAGAGATCCAGCAAGTCAAAGCAGACTCGATTAATCGAGTATGCTCCACACATGAGCTGACACACTGCGATGTGACACTTGCAGTTGTATAAGTGGAGAAAATGGTGACGGTGCACTTTTGAACTAAAAAGCAGACCGCCACCATGCACGTATAAAAATGCCCCTGGAGACCAGCATGTAAACAGAGAGAGCTGCCCAAGAACTCCAGCTGCACAGGAACCCTACATGGGAGGAAGTTTCCTACTACCCCTGTTGGCAAGCCTGTTGGCAACAGGAGGAGGCCAGGATTCATTTGCATTTGACAGTTTTGAATATTTTTGGTTAAATTACAACTAAGGTTTGAGTTTCGGGAGTTAACATCACAGTTATCCTTGTGTGAGAAAAGAGCAACAGAACCTGCCAAATATGCTTAGGGTGAGATGTTACTACAACTAGGCTGGGAGCTGAGCATGAGTGGGTATTGGAGCCAGGGCCATACTTCAATTCTGGTTGCAAAAGATCTTTTTGTGGTGGATGAGGGCTGTATGTTATTGCTTCAGCCTTCAAGACTTGACTACAGTGGGGATCTCCCTATCTAACCCAAGAACATAATCACTCCAGCTGCATTTGCTGGTGGAGCAGCTCAGGTGTAAGTGTTAGCAGCCCTGTGAGATCCAGATCTTCCTGAATTGTGGATACTGACAACTCTGAACAACAAAGCGTAAGTGGGGATCTGGAAAAGAAGGGAAGAGGGATGCTGTTGATGCTAGAATGCTGTCTCATTAGCCATCTGCAGCCTTATAAGGAATATGAAGTTGGAGAAAATTGCCAAGGCATACTGGCATGCCAGTCTTATTGAACAGACATTGTGGATTAATTGATAACTTTTCCTAAGTTCATTTTACATCCTTCTTTCTCCTCTTCTCCCAAAATTCTGTTTTAAACCTTTGCATTCAGTGTCTTTGAGTAGATATGAATTGTTTGTCAGAGGTCCCCGGGAAGGTAATTTAGAGTGGTTTTGAAGCAGGTGGGAAGTGGGAACTTCTGGATAACTGAACCTGGCCTAGGGTTGCCAACTCTGTTTGAATCTATTCTGAGAGGTTTCATCACATGGCGTGATGCGACACAATGCAAACGTGCTTGCGTATATTAGATATAAATTATGGTGTGTAGACTTCACATAGGACGGCAAATGCTCATTACTATTACATTTTTAAAACCCACTGGACTACTGTATAAATTGAATTCAAGATTTAATATTTCTTTTAATGAATACCCTATCATTTAGCTCCCAGGTGACTCTCAGTAGTCTCTTGGAGATTTATATTTAATTCTTGGAGACTCCAGGGCAATCCTGGAGGGTTGGCAACCCTAACCTGGCCCCTTGGGCTGCCAACAACACTGCAGAAAAATCCTACTTCCTTAAGCAGCAATTGTTCAACTTTAACCTCTCAGACCATGTGGACCAGAAGGCAGGGAGGGTTACTGTCACATGATGAGGAAGGGATATTTTACCAGATTTGGCTCTTGTTGTGGGACCCATGTGCTCTAGTGCTCAGTTATGTCTAGCAGACGGGGTACTGAGCTGCAAAGATCAGACCCTTGTACCAGGTGCTTGCTCAGTGGTACATGCATCTCTCCAAATGCTCAGCAGTGTCCCTCTGCTTTTTGCCACTAGGTGCCAGCAGAGACTAGTCCTCCAAAAAGTATCACTGAGGAATTAACACATGCCCTGCCTGAAAGGAACAGGCTGGCCCCACTTGGCTTACCAAAGTTGCACAGTTTTGATGGAAAAGCAGGCTTGTTATTACGCCAATCGCCACCGAAGAACAGATTAAAAAACATTTTTGCTGAAACCCAGCTTCAGTCTGCATTGTTCTCTATGCCAGACAGAATCTATAACTCTGATTTGATCTTTGAGGTGGGGAGGAAGAGATACCAGAGTGACCAGTTCGGAGACACTAATGCTTAGGGTGGGTTTTCAATAGCTGAATGTCCGCAGCTGAGCTTCATTTTGCACCTCTAAATAATCAGATACTAAAGGGAATGAAAAATCATCCCCATGAACTGGAGCACATGGTATCATTTCTCAGCATCTGCCCTGCTGGTTCAATTGGGATTCCAGAAGTGCCATGTAGTAAAAGACCATGTGGTCTCAGAAATTGGTGAATTATTATGTACTTTTATTGCAATGTTACCTGTGAGCCCTAGACATGGATTAGGACCTTACTGTATTGGCTTTTGTACAAACCTGGGGGGAAGTGGTCCCTGATACACAGAATCTATAATCTAAAGCGTATGCTCCAGGATCTTTTAAGATCACATCAAACATTTCCAGTAGCAACACCATCCTCCTTTCATACCTCCACTGATCCTGTCCCCTAGCTCTTCTGGGGCCTACCTCCATTATGTCTTTAATAACAGGGGTCCATCTTGAGAGCTGATAGGTCTGCTCGCTGATGCGCTCCTTCCGCTCCGGCTTGCTCCTGCGACGCAAGGTGGACTGGATACAAACAACAGTAGAGACAGGCATTAAAGTGGTGGTTCAACACTGAGTCAGTAGGGCACTGGGGATTTTCTAGAAAGCATTAAATGATAATGGATTCAGACAGCAGTTTGAGGCCATGCCAGGTTGGTAGTAATCATAAAGTTGCTGTTATCTGAGGGTAATGACTGGTGTCCTGTAAAAACCAAGTTAGTGGAGTCTTGTTTCCCTTCTCTGTAGTTAAAAGGTTCACATAGTAAAGTCAGCTGTCATAGCTGGTACAAACCGGCCCCCCATGTTGACAGCTTTCAGAGAAAAGCCAAAAATTGGATGGGCTGTGAAGACCGGGCCAGGCACTAGCACCTAGAAAGGTCAGTGGTGGGAAGGAGAATACTGCACTTCTGCTGCCTGTCCTGTGCCTCTCAGTCCAGGTCCTTCCACTGGTAGACTGAGAATTTGCAGTGAGATAAGGACAGTACAGACTTTTCTGTCTTGGCTTCTCTTCTCCCTTCTCCTGCTCTGGCAGAAGGAATTTCTGACTGCTAATCACTACAGAGCCACAGACACAGCAGCTCTCAATCCATTCCAGGCACATGCTACAATTGTTCCCTTGGTCTCTACTGGGGAGAGTGGAATGGAAATCTGAGTAGAGATGGGGATGAGGCTAGGTCTCTCCCTATGGCGTCCTGGGAAGCTTTTCCATTCCTTAAGTGGAAGCTGAATTAGACCTATATCTCTCTACCTCGTGTTTCATGGATCCCTAGACATTTAGATCATGGTACCTCTGGGATCTCAGTGCCTGCTTGTGCCAGACAAAAAGATCTAGTTAGGGTAAATCCAGAACTTTCTGAGCCAGAGGTGGGAGCAGTAGCAAGAGCTAAATTCCCAACAGACTCGTTAATTCGTCTTCGTTACATACATGCACTCACTTCCTTCATTCCAGCTTCCGCAGAGACCAATCAGTACCAGTCATTCAGATTTAATCACAATTCCATAGCCAATGAGAGTTCAGCTCCCATATCAGTAGTCTCTCCTTTCTGTGCCTGTCAGCTAAATCAATCCTAATCCAGGATACCTAGAGGTAGGAGGTTAATTGATGCCAGAGTTGTAACTGTTTGAGAACAACAGCTATTCACAGTCTAACAATACTGGCGAATCAGGAGGCTTATAGGGCTTTCTTAGACAATCCTAATTGGAGTGTGTTTTGGGGCTGAGCTCCACAGTCAGACAGGTACTCTCAAGTCTTTGTTACAGCAACAGGCTTCTGTTGGACACTCACATCTGTGATGATGGGCACTCCAAGATGGGCCATGTTGGTGATGATCTCGCTGTCCTCTGGTGGGATCTGAGCATGCTGGATCAGTTTGTTCAGGTTTTCTTCAGTGATGCCTAGAGACACAAACAGGAAACTGGTTCCCAAACTAAAATACACTTGTTCTCCCAATCTAGGGATCTCTCAGAGGCCATTAGCCATCAGTCCTGAAGATCAATTTATCATGAGAATTCTTGGGTAACATCGGAAAGTTGTTGTCGCTTTTTCCTTCCCAGCTCCTATTTCGCTTCACTACTTGCCTCCCTCATAACTGCCCTCTGTCCTAAAAACCAACATTGAATATCAATTCTACATCCCCTGAACTTTGGCAACATATGAATTAGCATGGTCTTGTGGGTAGGAAAATCGGCATGGAAGTCCGGGGCCATGGCCCTACTCTCAGCTCTGCAATAGTACTGCTAAGTGACTTTTTGCATGCCATTTTCACTCTCTGTACCATATTATCCTCCCTCTATCAAATTAGATGACGCCACCTGTCTCTTGAGAGGACTAAAATTGCAGGAATGTTTGCCAGCATGCTTTGAGAATCCTGAATGGAAGATGACAGAGAGGATGAACTGCTTATTACTATTAGAAAATTATTATGAGTTGAGCACTGTCAAAAATCAGCAGTTTGAGTCATTCGTTCTCTGCAGTCAATGTCCCATCCATTTCTGTAGGTTAAAAATGTAAAATCTCCCCAGTCTATTACTTAGCGGTGCCACAGAAGATCAGGGAACTAGGTCTAATCTCTGGAAGTCTGGTAGGGACTCTGTGCCCTTCTATGCAGCGTGTAGAAGTGTGTACCTAGATCTACTCCACTGCTATCACCTTCTGTCTGTCCCCCTGTCCTTCCCTGGACCCCTTTGATCCCTCACCAACCCAAGCTGCTCCGTAGTTTCTCCTCTTACCATTCTTCAGGAAGATGTACAGGAGAATGATGCGGATTTTGTCGTAAGTGCTGACATTTGCATCCAGCAGGATTGGCACAATGGCCCTCATAGGGTCCTTGATCTTCTCCCCTTCAGCATCGGTGCCCATAGCCAGGTCCTGCAGAGAATCCACACACCATTCACTCTGAGGGTCAACTCCAGCACCATGTCGCAAACCGCAACGGAAAGAATGGAAGTCTGAATTTGGAGGGAATGTGGAAACTAGACTCTGACTCCATCAGAACTGCTTATACCCACTGACCAAGGTGCAAAGGAGCAGCCCAGGATTTGGAGCTCAGAGCTCATCGTAGCCTGGACTGCATGGATTAAAAAAGAAAAAAGTCCAAGCTTGTGTTAAGCTTCAGAAGGGCCCTGAACACTGAAACTGAGCTAGATGGGACAGATGGATCACTAAGGCTGAAGAAAGCAACCAGCCAGATTTGCTTCTGATGCGGGAGGCTGAGGATCAGGAAGAAGCTAAAACAACCTCCTTTCCCAACCTAGTCTACCCCAGTAAGTGAACTGTGTGCGCCAGCTGTTAGCTTTTAAGTGAGCTCAAACCTCAGCCATAATTTGACTTGCTGAATACTTGGACCGTGGCCATCAGGAGACAAATCTGGATTGGTGATGGATGGAAAGGTTTCATTGTGGAGACTCTGCCTTGCTTGGTAGATCAAAAAATAATCTGAAAAGGCCAGGCCATTTCTCCATAGGCCCAGATCTAGTCCCAGAAATTTCTCCCATGGGGAAAAATGTCTCAAGTAACCCCCTATTCCATGTTCCATGTGTGAGGAGGGACCAGACTAGTTGAAAGCTAGGAAGAGGATGCATTTACAGCCAACTCAGCAGAGAAAGTCTCACTTCCTGGCATGTCTCCCAGCGTACCGAGGAGATTCTGTAAAGGTCACAAGAGGGAACGAATTGTGCCCAGATCCAAAGTGCATATTCTCCTAGTTCTGTACCACCTTCAGGTTTGTATGCTTGCTCTCTTTAAGCACAGCAAGGTCTGACTCCTGTGACTGGGCATTACGTATGCATCTAAAATCAAGCTGAGGCTTCACAAGAATAAGCCTGCATGGCTTGGGGAAAGGAACACCATGGCCTAGGAGGTCTCCTCCTTTGGGTTCTGTCCGACCTTTTTTGCTCAGAAGTTGCTCAATAGCTGGGGGTGAAGTACAGGGTGCAGAGCATAATACCAGGGGGACAGAAAGGAGACCAGTACCTGTTCTACTCTGCAGAGCTTGTCCACGGTGCCTTGGTAGTGCTTCATGCAGTCCTCAGCCAGGTGCAGGTGGGTGGAATACTATGGTGATACAAGAGGTAGACACACGCTTCTAGCATTAGCAGCAATATGTTCCCCAGCACTTAACACTGGCATGTTGGCCCAGATCCTAGGTCCTTGGGAAATAATGCTGATGAATACCTCCCAAGAATCTGGCCCTCTATTGAATGTATGTGCAAACAGGCTTCTTGTGACACTATAGATGTGCCTGATTTACATACATGGTGATGAATGCCATCCTGGCTAGAGAAATGTACCTTGTGTGGGTTTTTTTGGGTTTTTTTTTTTTGTGCTTCCCTCAAATCACTGAAGCAGCAGTGATGGTCCCCTTCCTCATTTTTCCCAGCCCCTTCATCACCACCAAGCTAGCGTGGACTATAGAAGATGTAGAGCAGAATGAGCACAGCACTGAGATGTGTATCTAATACCAGGGTTCTGGGTCTCCACATATCTTTTTTTAATTTAATTTCAGTTTGAACAGGACCAAAAGACACATTTTAGAAACGTTCTGGTGAATCAGGAGTTCCCAGACCCTGCAGATTTTCAATGAGATTGATGTTCCTGTCCATTTCCCTGGTAATCTAATAGTCAATCCACTGACCAGCTCCCAGGGGTACCAGGCCCAGGGCAGATCCACTAATGGCTTGCAGCCCCAAGGATTCCTGGCCCCTCTATGAAGTTCATCAAGCCTGAGATGTTTCAAAAGAAACTTTTCAGGGTCAATAAAATCTTTAGTTTTGTCAACAAATTTCTGACCCTTTTTTATGGGTGACTTGGGGTCATGTTCCAGCTTTGCCACTGACCTACCATGTAGCCTTGGGAAGTTATTTTTCCTTCTCGTGTTTCTCTCTTCTCCATTTAGTAAGAGACAGTCCTTCCCCAAAAGCTAAGTGTGTGTAGTGCCCAGCACAATGGAGCCCTGATCTCCACTGGGGTCTCTAGCTGTAATAGTTATACAGAAAGTTTATGCAGGGTGCTTGGCATCTACTTCCGTTTGAGGAAAAGTCCCATCCCAACTTCTTACCTATGCTAGCTGTCTTCCTAAAAGATCCACACCCCAATAACACCAGCCCTGTTTCAGCCTCAATAGTATTCATTCTCTGTAATACTAGCAAGGGCTCCACTAAGCACAACTGGAGATCTGCTGTCTTGGCCGTGGGAGGAGGGCTAGCTTTAGCCATTCTGTGAGGAAGGTTGCTCAAACACCAGTTCCCTTCTGTGGGCAGCCATCCATTTTCCATTCCCTTTACCTTGCTGAGTTCTTTCTGATACTGGGGCATCTTCTTCAGCATCTGAGACAGGTCCCTCATAGTGGTCTGCTGGGAAAAGAAATGTCAAGATTTCTCCCATACTGAATTTTACGTGAGCCTTTACTTTTGTGAAACCCATCAAAGGAGAAAGGGGGGAAGTGGGCATGCTAGAAGGGAGGAATAGGCTGCAATCAGACCTAGACAGGTTACAAGGGTGGGCGGATGAGAACAGGATGGGTTTCAACACTGACAAGTGCAAGGTGATGCACCTGGGGAGGAAGAACCAGCACCATACCTACAAGCTGGGAAACTCCCTTCTCGTCAGTACAGAGGCAGAAAAGGATCTTGGGAGTCATTATTGATGCCAAAATGAACACGGGCCGGCAGTGTGGGGGTGCAGTCAGGAAGGCCAACCATACCTTGTCATGGATACACAGATGCATCTCGAGCAGGTCCGAGGAGGTGATCCTCCCCCTCTATGCGGCACTGGTCAGGCCACAGCTGGAGTACTGTGTCCAGTTCTGGACGCCGCACTTCAAGAGGGATGTGGACAATGCGGAGAGGGTCCAGAGGAGGGCCACTCACATGGTCAGGGGGCAGCAGGGCAGGCCCTACGAGGAGAGGCTACGGGACCTGAACCTGTTCAGCCTCCATAAGAGAAGGCTGAGGGGGGATCTAGTGCCGTTTACAAACTAGTCAGAGGGGACCGGCAGGCATTGGGAGAGTCCCTGTTCCCCCGAGCACTGCCAGGAGTGACCAGGAATAACGGTCACAAGCTGGCAGAGGGTGGATTCAGACTGGACATCAGGAGGCGCAACTTCATGGTCAGGGCGGCTAGGATCTGGAACCAACTTCTAAGAGAAGTGGTGCTGGCTCCTACCCTGGGGGTCTTTAAAAGGAGGCTGGATGAACACCTTGCCGGGATCGTTTGACCCCAGTACTCTTTCCTGCCATGTCAGGGCGTCGGACTTGATGATCTGCTCAGGTTCCTTCCCACCCGACCAACTATGAAACTATGAGAAATACCAGGGAAGACACCCATGAAAGCTTCCCATTTCAGCAACCCCCTCCTTCTCAGGCAGCTGCTCAAATACAAAGTTCTCTGTTCAAGGTTCTGGTGACATTTGTTAGGACAACTTCCCATCTCCTCTTACAGCTGATCATTTTATGAGCAGTTATACGAGCTTGCAAGTATAGAAGTTAAAGAAAAGCAGGTGCTAGAATAGATCTAAAAGATCATTCATCCCAGCACCCATGTGCAACCCCACACGATTGGCTGAGGGCAGGATAATATTGTTTTTTCCATTCCCACAAGATCTTATTGAGGCCATAAGTTCACAGGGGTCCTGAAAGAGATTGGATATTTATATGGAGAATGAGAACATCCAAAGAGAGAAATAAAAGAATATGGGATATAGACCTCGTGCTTCAGGGCATGAACCAAGCTCTAGCCATTGACAGTTGGAAGTAAAGACTCGCTGTGGGAAAATTTGCCTATGTCAGGGTTTCTTGCTCCTTCCTCTGATGCTGTTGGTACTTGACGCTAAAAGGCAGGATATAGGACTAGACAGATCCTAGCTGTGATAGGATCTAGCTATTCCTATGTTTCCAAGAATATGGTGGTGTCTCCTGATGCAGAAGACCATATTCAGTGGACCAAAAATTGCACCATGGAGGGTAAATCCTGTGTTGCAGGGGGAATGTGTTAGCTGAAGTGCAACCCAAACATGAGCAAAGGCATCACCTTCTCGCCAGTGTTCATCCTCTTGCTGGAAGAAAATTCCTTCAGAGAGCGGGTGACCTCCCTGGAAAGGAGAAGGGGCCACAATAGTCAATGAAACCCTCACTCCCTGGGCACCCTGGGTCCCACCTACTCTACTTTTTTGATTCCCTGTCTTTAGCATTATAACAGTAATAGCTTTCCAGTGTACTTCTGGTTCTTGTTCAAGAGGAATGGTTGATGGAGTAGCTAAAGGCAGGAGCCATGAATATAAGGCCTGTCATCAGGACTGAATACAAGGACTGTCGTGCCTTCCTCACGCTGTCAGATCACTTCTGGACTGCGGTGTACTAGTGGATCTGTACAGGGAAACTCCATGTGGGATTAGCAGAAGGTTGCAACTCAGGATTGTTGTGAATTGGTGGAGATGTGGAGGTTTAGGACCAGACCAGTGAAGGACACTGTGGGTCAAGACTGGTGTGTTGGCAGAGCCATGCTGAAATGCTCACACAGAACCTGCCTTTATTATTCATCTCACCATTAGACTTTGCTTTCCTGACACAGGCATTAAGTTAATTTCTTGATGAGGCCTTGTGTAGGGGTGCCTGCCCCAGGGGCTGGACTCCATGGGCTTTGGGCATATAGAAGGGTGTGAGCACTTACTGAGACACTTCTGCAATATGCTTGTGGCGTAAGGCAACCCAGAGGTCATCATCCTCATCCAAAAGAACCTCTTTCACCCGGGCCTCTCCAATGCCACTTGTCTCATACCTGGAGAAAAAAGCAGGGAGCATCACGTGAGGAAAAGCTGACAATGGAGAAACACATCACACTCTGCAAGCACCCACTCTGGACTCTTTAAAGAAACATTTGGACGTCTATCTTGCCAGGATCCTCTGACCCCAGCTGACTTCCTGCCCCTGGGGCAGGGGGCTGGACTCGATGATCTTCCGAGGTCCCTTCCAGCCCTAATGTCTATGAAATCTCCTGCTTAGTCCCTGAGGCAACTCCTCCACTTCAGGCTGAATGAGGAGAGATGAGACAGCTTGTTCACAAGACTGAGGGCTTGTTGACATTCCAGGGAGCACCTCCATGAAGTACTTCCCACCTATCTGATCCCCTCACCTTCACAAAAAGTTTCTCTCAAGGTCTCAGTCCCTAATGTGCTTGAGAGCAGTTGTTGGGGAATGACCCTGGAGCAGCCTCAATAGGATATTTCTGGGCCAGGCATGTGCAGAGCCATCTCTGTCAGGATACACTGCCACCTCAACATGAGTCCAGCCCTAGCCACTAAGCCATGCGGCTTCTCCAAAATTATCCATGCTCCCTTGCGGTGGTAGCACAAAAAGAGGCAGCTTGCTACCTGAACCATACGGGTGGTTCTAGGTGCATGTGCTCTGGCTGCCCTGAGACAGCCGTGTTTTCTCATTTCTATGAGTAAAGCACCCAGAGGAGGAGCAAGCAGGCAGCATCTGATTCATGGTGCTAATGCCACACACACCATGGAAGTGGTGCTGACCTGCTCCTAGTTGGTGCCCTTAAGGTTTTTCAGTGGTATCCTATTAATGCTTCCTAAGAAATGCATAGTAATCCCAAGCTGTGCTGGGTATCAGTCTCTTGCTCCAGAATTTATTCACAGTATGATTTACCCTATGGTCTAGGCAAGGACTATTTTTTGGTGTTATGTTTGGACAGTGCCAAGCACAATTATCTGCTCCGAGACTGGGGCTTCTAGGCACCATGGCAACCCAAATAAGAATAAGTGAAGTCCATTAGCTACTGCAGCCTGATTCTGGTGTCAGATGGTTACACCAGAATCAGGCTGCAGTAGCATTTATACTGAGTTGGACTGAGTTGGACTGAATCACTGAGTTCTTTGGGTTCCTATAGTTCTAGGCATTGCATTTTGTATCACCTTGGTGATTGCTCCCCTACTCACTTGTAGACATCATTCTCAACAGGCAGCAGATCATAGCTCATGGCTTGGAAAGTCAGTTCATGCAGCACTGGGGAGGCTGGGTCGAAGCCACGGTCCAGAATGAGGAGCTGGGAGCGAGCTTTGTCCGGGCCCTAAAGAAACAAAGAGTAAATCTTTGTTCCTGAGGAATGCAATGGATTCTCCCTCAGCTGGATCATTATCATGGAGACTGAATGTCTTACTAAGTGGGCTCAAGGTCAGTCACAAGTTCTTGTCTTGGTGGAGGAAATGTGGATGACAATCTAGCCTAGTAGGGTATCACCCTAGATTCATGGGCCCATCTAGACTGAATCATGAACAAACTTAAAGCAAAAACCAGACTGTTCCACTGAAGGAACACGTTTTTAACTCCTGTTCACTGCAGGTACTTGCAGAGAGGTCTCTTCGCTACCCTATACACAGGAGATGTGACTTTTTTTTACAGCCTCAGCTAGAGAGTCTTGATTTTTTTTTCAAGCTCACTCTGTAGGCGCTCATGCTTTTAGCTATGGTGTTTTCTAGTTCAACCTTTGCAAAGTCATCTAAGATCACAACAATCACAATAGCATCCTAAACTTTCTACCAAAGCCACCAGTGCAAAAGATATTTCCATATCTCTTGCCTAACACCAGTAACTGTACCTTTATCACCATGACAGTGCTGCAATCACTAATACTAACATTGCAGTGGCTCAGAATGACAGCTGTACTTCTTCTACATGTACATGAAGCTTCTTAAATGATTAATATATGGTTATCTTTTGCCACCTTAATTACACACACACGCGCGCGCACACACGCACGCACACACACTCTCACCAATGTTCTGGTCTAACAGTATAACAAGACAATCGGTGCTTTCTTGAACTCCTCCTGTCCTCCTAATTTCTTCTGTCAGTGTCCAACACTCCACAACCCACACTCACCTCACCCATGGTTGGATCATCAGCCTTATAGGCATCCAATTTGTCCTGGATAAGCTGGGCCAGCATGGCATTGTCTTTGTAATCTCTGGACAAGGTGGAGTGGAGAGAAAGGTACAAAAGTCAAGTAATTGCTCCTGGATCTTCTGTGAATGTTGGTTTTAAGGAGATGGGAGAAGCAGCTTGGGGGTGGGATATACATCTAAATGCCTTAAATCATACTATTTTAGCAGGTGCTACTATTACCAGGAATTGTGCATCTTTGTACATGTGGCAGAAAAGCTGAGTGGGTCATAGTCCTGATGTTCATTAAGGTGTCACTTTCCATGTCATGTCCTGGGATGGCCCTGAGAAGGCACAATTTGGATGGCGTGCTCCCCATGCCAGTAAAGGACACCTAGGTAGCTTTAGCAGATTCCTTTCACTTTTCCCACCCCTCACTGCCAAGCTCCCAATGTCTTTTGAAGCACCTTCTCCACCTCACGTGCATTGCCTTACCCTCTGTATCGGACGGCCGGATATTCCTTCAGAGTGGCACACAAGGTGGCAATCTGTTCTGCCAGGCGTTCCAGGATGGGGTTTTTCATTTGGGCCTTGTGGGGGCTGTAGAAGCTTTGGAAAGAGTCGGCAGAATCCAAGGAGTAAACCTGGGTGGGACAGGAATGGCAGAGGGAAAGGTTAGATAAATACGCCCCACTGGGAACATCCAAGAAGTGGGCTACACGTGTTAGGGGTAGAAGGTGCTGCCCCCTCACATGGCTCTGTGTCAGCTCAAGCCAGTGTAGGAGCCATAACAGAAACTAAGCAGCTGTGTAAGCACAGATGTTTCACAGAAGTGGGGCTGTGGTGGATGCTGCTAAGGGGACTGGGTGTAGTTTAATGACACCTCAGTGTTCTTCCCCCTGGGTTATAAGTTTTGTGTTGGGCCTCCAGGAGGCAAAGTGGAAAATCACATAGTAGTCTCTGCCCTGATAAGTGTATGCTGTAACTAGAAGGTGCAGGGGAAGATGAGGCACAGAGCAGTACAGTGACTTACTCAGCTCGATCCATAACCTTCCTGTGCAAAGAGCTGGGGGCTCCTGGCCCTCCCAAGAGGGCTCCTGGCCCTCTTGCCCATTAGACCAGGTTGCCTCCCTTCCTAGATCTGGGACCTCCTGGCCCTCAGTTCAAGGCTCTTGCCCATTAGACCAGGTTGTCGCCCTTCCTAGCCTCAGCCTCCCAATACAAACTCAGTCATCAGCTTCAGCTTGGGCAGCAAGCTCAGAAGGAACAGGAGACAGGAAACCCAGTAGCATCCATCCTCTGCCATGCTGGAAACGTGTTTGTCATTATAGTTTGGCCAAGTGGAGGGAGGTGGTGGGGGACAGAAACTAAGTCATTTCTACACCAACAGGAACCGTACATCTGAGGCTGTCCCTGCCCCCACACTCACGATAAAAAGGTACCCAATTCCAGTATCCACGCCTGGCAAAAGTGTCTCCTGCACAGGCACATGTGGTTTGCCCAGCTAGAAGAATCATTGCAACATTTGGCTTTCAAAGGCTTAATGATGCTGAACATTGAATGCCATCTGTTCCTAGTCACATGCTCCAGTCCCAGCATAGCAGAGGCCTCTTCTACAGCAGATGGCAAGAGGTTTCATCCCTCCCATGCCCTTAACTTATTGGCCCATCTCTGATGGTACCCAAATAGCCAGCCAATGGCAGATGATAGTCTGGGTCAGGGGAGGAACATGTCACTAAATACACCACCAAGGGTCAGCTCAGAGAAATAACTGAAGGAGACAAGAATAAGAGAGCATCGCAGGAGGTAAAAAACTGTTCTGGGAAGAGAGCTTAGTAATTTAATATCTCATTTCAAGGTGTTACATAAACACTGCTCCTCCAAGGTATGTGAGCCCAAGCTATTGAATGAACCTGGACCATCCCCGACCACAGTCTCCAGCCAGCCAACCTAGAACAGGTGACTTTTGGGTTTCCCATACCTTTCCCCAGGACCTGGCCGAATGGATGGCTGGAGCAAGCCCTGCTGTTTCTTGCTGTGCTCTCCTGCCCTGGACTCACCTGAGACTCGTAGGGGAGGAAGGCAATGTTGATTTCCGTCAGGGTCTTGATTACTTTTGCTGTGCGAGATTTCAC